AACTTTACGAGCTAAAGAAACTGATCTTCGATGTATAACATTCTATGAAGAATTAATGTTAATGAAAGAATTTGAACGAACAGAAAATGAATTAGAAAATAAAGTTACTGAAGCACAAAAACGATCTGATAATGAACAAACAAAAGTAAACAAATAATATTATAATTAGTTTATAATTTTTTATTTGTTTTTATATTTTAGATCAGTGAATTTAATGGAAAAATTGATGCAAAAAAAAAAGATATTGAAAGTTTAGATGAACGAATGAAACATATTTATGCACGTTTTGATGAAATGATACCAAAAGAACATAAATTTTATAATTATCTTTTACGAGTTTTAAATAAAAAAATTAAACGAAAAAAACGTGTTGAAGGAGAAGAAGCAGAAGGTATGTATCAATGAATACATATATATGATTTATATATTCATCAGTTTTTTAATAGACATTTTCTTTTTCTATATCATAATACATAAAAGTTTTTATTTTTGCAATTTCAAACAAATATTTATATGAATACAAGAAAAAGATATACAAACAATGTTTGTAGCAGTTGTCTTTTTTAATAATTTCAGAAGAAGAAAATATATCACTTGAACACTTCTCATGCCATTCAAACCGCCGGTAGACTGTTTGGTATTCGTCCGTAGTAACAAAAAAATCCCAATATATCGACAATCCATTGGTGATAGCCCAATGTTTGTTTTAGAAGTTTTGAAAAAAATGACTCTCAGCATGAAAATTGAAGTTAGTTTTTCATTTGTACGAATTCATTGTAGAGAAGCTTTGTGTGTGATTTTGTAGCTTACATGATTAAAATTCTGAACAAAGTTATAAACTATGAGGTGAAAGTCTTGACACAAAAAATTTGTTCGGTTTTACCTTTGAGCAAATAATTCAATAAATTAAAATTAGTATCTTCACTAATTGAAAAAAAAAGAGCTTTTTTTCGTCATTCATAAGTTCTCTGCGTAATATTTTGAAACACTTTTGACTTTAAATTAATGTCGATCATTTAATTGTCTACACAGTTATGGGTTACAATAAGATAGAGCTAAAAAATAGTTAAACATTATAGAATAACAGATAGAGACATAAATTAAATATTTTGTAGTATGAAGTTTGCTCTACAAATTGATCTATAAAAAAGGTTTTTTGTCATTTGAAAAGAAAAAGCCTTAAGCAAAGTATAACAATAAGGAATATGAAAAATTCTGTACAGCTGTTTCTTATAGATCCAATCATGCATATTCTCCTAGTTAAGTAAATAACGTCTAATGATAGAATATTTTCAACTTGGCAATCACTTTTGAGTTCGGAGTCTGTACATAAGATAGCCTCCAATGAGATATTGAAAATCCCTAAAAGATAACAACTCCTAGGCCTCTCCTAGCTATTTTATTAAAGGAAGTGGTGCTTTTTTCCATAAGCTATCCCCCCCCCCCCTCTCCCCGCAAGGTTTCTTTTCATTTCAATATTTTTTGGTTGTGGGTAGTGTGAAGATATAAAATCACCCAACCAGACCTTGGACATTTTTAATCTTAGCAAAAAACTCAATATTTTAGAGGACGGTCATTTACATAGGAAAATACTACAAATTAGGGAATATTTAGAGGTTTTTGTTGTTAAAAGTGGGTTTTCATGTAAAATGAGTATGATATTCGGAATTAGCATAAAAAATTACACTAGACGCTCTATTTTTCATTGTAAAATGTTTTCCATGAAAATTTGACCCGTAGGAGACCAGAGGAGAAAAACTCATGAATAAACGATTGAGGGAGAGTAGGGGTCAAATCTCCGTGGAAAATATCTTACAATGAAAAACAGAGTTACTAGTGGAATTTTTTATGCTGATTCCGAATATCATACTCATTTTACATAAAAACCGTCTTTCGACAACAGAAACCTCTAAATAATCCCTATGTTCTGTTATTTTTCTATATAGATGACCGTCCTCTAAAATATTGATTTTTTTGCTAAGACTAAAAATGTCCATGGTCCGGTAGTGTCATTTTATATTTTCATACTACCCACGACCAAAAATAGTTGAACGAAAAAAAACCTGCGAGGAGGGGGAGGGTATAAGCACCACTTTCTTTTGAGTTTACAGCATGATACGTAGAGAAGAATCGAATGGTAATATTTTAATCTGAAATTTTGTCTATAGATAGATCTAAGTGTAACTAGAATATTCTGAAGATTTCAGCTTAAAAGAACGTTTCCTTCATGAGTTATTGAATTTCCAACAGAAAACTGAATTTTTCATAAAAATTCATTCAAATTCAATACATTAACACTATATTCTTATGACTTTCACATCCTACATAAGCCAAGTAAATTCTTATCATTCTATATTTCTCTTTAAAATAGATGCTGATGATATGTCTCAAGATTTTGATGAAGAAGAAGATTGGGAACTTGAAGATGATGAAGATGAAGATCAAATAGCTAATGAAGATCCAACGAGACAACTTGATGTTGATATTTGTCCACCAAATCTTGATCAAAAAATATATGACGATGTTGTTGCTTTACGTGAAAAGCGACTGGATCTTGGTATAGATTTTGTATTCTTTTATCTTATTTTTAAAAAACCTATTATTTTAGATGAAGCAATAACGGATGAAAAAGCTGCTTTACAATCATTACAACAAACACTTGGACAAACGCAAATTTATTCAAATAAAATTGATACGGAATTAAAATCCAAACAAGCTGACTTAATTGATTTTCAAGTAAACAAATAATCGAAAAATAATTATTTCAAATTATTTGTTTTCAATAATTAAATTATGTGTCGTTTTTGTTTTTTAGAAAAAGAAACAACGAAAGATTAATGATATTAATGTTGCTATTGATATTCGTTCTCATCAAATTCGTTATGATCGTTCAACTCATTTACCAGATGATTTATCTGATGCATTAATCTTTAATAGAATTAATAAATTAGGTTTAACAAGTCGTATTGTTGATGTTAAAACAGAAATTAAACGAGAAAAAGAACGATACGTGTAAATATATTGAAAATAAAAAGTAAATAATTATTTCTTTATTAAAATTTTGTTTTAGAAATAAAAAACAAGAACGAAAAGATCTATCACATGAATTAAAACATGCTGCTCAAGTTATAAAACTTTTAACTGATGAATGTAATAAATTAATGGTAGAAAAATTTGGTAAATTAGTTCAATTAGAAAAATTAGAAGGAGCTATTGTTAATTTACAAATTGAAGAACTTAAACAAAGACTTGATGATGCTGGTGATGAATATTATAATACAATGACACAATACGAGGTATAACAATCAATTAAAAAGTTTTTATCTCTATATATACATAGAATTTTTTGGTCGCTGTATTTTTTCATAATGACACTACTTGGTAGTACAAATAATTTCTTAAACAAAGATATGCAGGTTCCGGTTCCCGTCTCACTCTAGAAAAAATTATTTCACAATTGTGTTGTATAATATCTAGAAAAAAATTTTTTAATAGCTGTTTTGTTTATTTAGTAACTGACTAGTACTTAATTAATCATTCGCTTGAAAGCATAGAATATTTAGTTATTGTCTTCGGTTTCAGTTGGAAGAACTTTTGTAGAACTCACGTATATTTTCGGAGAAAATAATAAGTGTAAGTTTTAAGTTGAAGCCTTTGCGACTTTCCTATTCATTACAAACTTTAACAATCGACATCGAACTCCTTTTCCAGAATTCTTTAACGATGGAAAAAACGTTGAACGGCATGATTTAGACTGTTTTAGAAAATTCTAAAACATTCTTCAACATTCGAATGAATAAGATATGCATATGAATGTTTTAAATAATGCATTTTTTTTATATGTCACTGGTCATGCATAGCAATGCATCAATTTGCCACAGTTGTCATTTAATTAAAATAAAAAGCATGAATGAATCAAGATGTATATAATAGTACATTAACATCTACTGTTATAAATATAATGAATATTTTATAACAGTATTGTTTGCAATTCAATTCAATAGTTATAATAATAATAAATTGAGAAAAACGATATTACGAAATAGAAAAATAACGAGCGAATAGTAATAATTCAAACAAAAAATAGGTTGCCCATAAAAAGAGTAAATAAGACAAATGTTTACTCTACTCATCGATTAGCTTCGAAAAGCCTATGAGAGATTTTTCACTTAACGTATATTGTATTAGTTTATTATGAAGCTAAAGAACATATGTGAGTTCCATATTTTAGCATCAAGGAGATACTCTACTAACACGCTTTTTGTCTCGTAGTTTCGCCCTTTGCTCGGCCTTGTGGTTCCAGTCTCTGAAAACTTTTTTTTTCTAGTAATAATAATAATTAAACAAATTTCCAACTTTCTAACTATTATAATCTAGTTATGATAATCAGAAATTTATTTTTTAATAAATATTTGAAATATGTATAAGAAAGTAAATTCATAATTTATACTGTACTATAGTTAAATCAATTTTCTTTAATAAAATATTGATTATTAAAAATGTATGTTTCAGCTTCGTAAAATTGAAGAACATGATGATACAATTGATTTATTAAAAACAAATACAAAACGTCTTGATGAATTAACTGAACTTGTTGATGAAAAACGTCGTCTTGATGAACAACTTGTCTCACGCAAAACAAAAGCTGTTAGTTTGTCTAAAAGATTTCGCGTTTTTTCTTTTCTATTATAAAATAATAACTTTTTTTTTCGTCTTTAGGCTGATGAATTTACAGGTCCATCAAAACAAAGCATCGAAGAATTTGATCGTTTATGTACTCTTGTTCAATTACAAGCACAAGAAATTGAAGCCTTAAAAGCTGAAATAAGTATTTTATCACGTAAAGGTGGACATATTTTACCACCAAATCCAGCTATACTTCCACAAAATTCGTGATAATATACTTAAGAATGACATGAAAAAAATCTTTTTTTTCTTTTTTTTCCTGGTATTTTTTATTCATCAATAAAATTCGTATATTCGAAAATACAATCGAAATTTTATTTACGTCGATTACTTTTTAAAACCTTTTTATTTTTACATGTTAATTTTTTTTTCAAATTTTTTTTCTTTTTTATTGCATTTCCATTACGTTGACAAGACGATTTATTTAAATCATTATTATTAATATCTAATGTATCAAATGGAATTGTATTATTTAATTGATTTTCATTTTCGGATTGTTGTTGTTGTTGTTGAGAAACAAGTTCTTCAGCAGCATTAAGTAATGCTTGTCGAACAACATTAAGAATTTTTGATGATGATTGATCATTCGTATTTGAATTTATTTCAATCGATTGTAATGAAGGTTGTTGCTTTTGTTGTATTCGACGATGAGAAACTTTTGATGAAATACGAACCATAATTAGAAATAGAAATGAAAATTTTTTTTTTTCTTAAAGTGAAAATGCGCGTAAGAGAAAAAAGAGATGAAAGGCTACATGAAGATAAAATAATAAAGTAAACAAAAATCGCACACACACACACAAATACAAAAGGCGGCAAATGCAATTTAAACTCGATATGGTGATCTTGTTGTTTCAATAGGGATTATACGTTCACCACTATTTGAATTATTTGTTGGTGGACGTTGAGTATTAGTTACAACTGTATAAATAGGTCGATCTGATGCATGTGTTGGTATTCGTGTTGCACCAGTACTTAACATTGGTCGAGTACAAGCTTCGATTAGAAAAAGTATACCAGCTATAAGAGCAAATGTCTATAAAGAAATTTTTTTCATAATGGAATTAATAATTGTTTCTTTTGTTTTAAATGACTTACGGCTGCAGCTGCCGCTGCTCCAGGTCTCGCATGTGTCTCTTCATCAAAAACATATTGATATTCGTTTGAAAAATATCCACGTCGAATAATTGCTGGTGTTCGCCTTAATTTATCTTCCCATAATGCAGCACATATACCTATTGATATCATCATTAATCCCATAATAATATTAAGAATTAAACACTAGATGAATAAAACAATTTATTAATCTTTTCTCTTGTTGTCTTTTTACTTACAATTTGATTTAAATAAGCAAAATTTTTTCCTGAAAAACGTATACCAAAGATATGCATGAGAAGAATAATAATTGTTATAGCCAAACAAAGAATAGCAAATGATTGAAATACATATCGAACAGCTACTGTACTTAAATCTGGATAGATCCATTTTAAATTATCAGCTAATTCAGAATATGGTCGAGATGTAAATGCAACACTAATGAGTGCAGCAATTAATGAAACCTGAGGAAAAAAAAAGAAAGAACATTATTCGTTTACTGTAATATAAAGGTAAAACATATGGATATCATTAGTTATAAATTGCTCATGAGCTAGACTAACCAATTACTTGTTCACATTTGGGTCAATTTATTATAGTTTTTCTAAGAGCTATTTATCATGTTAAATCTTCTTTTTTTACAACATATATGATCCTTTTTATTTTTGATTGATAGAGTTATTTACATCATTAACCTTTAGATATCAGAGATGCTTTTACTGATTTGTTTGTTTACATATTAGTCTATACATCAAGATGACATCAGACATAGATTAAAAATAAATAATTTTATCAGTTATATTCTTAAATTATCAAAATTTCAAATCGCCTATTCAAAAAGGTTATGATCAATCAAGCGAAACATATCTATTCGCTTTTTTTTCTTATACAGATTGATCGATAATAAAATCAAACGTACAATTTCAGCTATGTTAAGCATGCCAGTTGGTGTCGATAAATATCCATAATCTAATGTTGCAACCATTTGTTCTAAAGAAAAGGATTTTTATTTATGTACACATATATATTAATACGATAACGACGTTGAATTACCTTTCACCTTCTTAAAAACGCAAAAGAGAGAGTAAATGAGTACGAATAGATGTATATGAATAAAGAAAAATAATAATCACGATTAACAAGACGTATGCCTCTTTGTGTCCTTGTTTATACATGCATATAACCGTCCGCCCGATATCTTTTTCTTTCGCTCCCTTTCTTCTCTCATATGTACTACTATTCTTATTCTTTTCTACAATAGTGATTGGTCAAGGTTGTTCTGTTTCTTCACCGCTATTCTCCTTAAGGACCCGTTTTAGTGCGCCTACTATCGATAATATTCTAATGCATAGACCTCTTGTGTAGGGAACGTTAGTTTCCTAACATATACAATACGAGATATACAGACAGACAGACAGACACATAGATAGACGAGTGCCTTCCTAAGAGTATCCAATAATTGTGTTTGTTGTTTTATTTGTTGTTGCCTAACACATGCCTACGATGATCCTTGACATCAAAGTGTCAGCATGCAGCTATTATCAATCTTGACTGAAACATCATGCTAGAGATTACATTGATGAGAAACTCATTCAGTTCTGGTGCAGATCAATAACATACACATGCATAAATGTATTAAAAGCTCTACCATATGTAAACAAGTTTATATAATTGATATCAAAAAAATAAATAGAAAACTGTTCCTTTCCATCAATAATAAAAGAATCACATAAATGAAAAGCGCCTTCGAATTTTTTTGTTATTATTATTTTGTCTTTTGAATTTTTGTTTTGTTGTACAAATCGAATATCGAAAAAAAAATGAATCAGTATTTTTAATAATGCCAATTCTTACACTTTATGAAATATGTCTTAAGGATTTATTAAAAAATTCTTGTTTAAACCCAAATAGTTTAAATCAATTACCTATTTCATGTTTACGTGACATACTTCCATATTTATCTCCATGTGAGCTTGAACGTTTAGATTTTATTTATTATGAACGACATATTCGAACAAATGATGTTTGGCGACGTCATTTTGAATTAATTTGGTCATTATCACGAGATGATAAAGATTCTTATGAATCATTATTAGATATTCCATATAAACGTCTCTATTTTGAATATCTTTTTCATGATACACAAATTTTACAATTAGGTATTTATACACATATATCACAAATAAATATATCAAAATCAATTATTAATCTATCATTTATTGAACAAATAAAATACAATCTAACAAGAGATTCAATTATTTATTGTTCAAAAAGAAGATTATCAGATGATAATCAAAATCTTATTATCATTTGGAATCATCAATGGAATAAATATATTAAACGGTATTGATAGAGATTGTTTGAATTAGTAAACGATGAGTACGGATATATCGATCTTAGTCATTTCCAAATTCGTTCGTGATTAGTCTTTCAAGAGCGAGAATATAGATATATGTAAATATAGTACTCGTAACTTGAATTCACGAAACATCAAAACTACTCGATAATACAACGCTGATTGATCTATGCTAAGAATTTGAGAGAGTAGAACTCGACAAATTATAAGTGATAATTAAATGTGGCCGTACCATAAAAAAGTTCTTTCGCAAACAAATAAAGCTTACCATGTTGTGGTTGTTATTTTTCTTCTTTCTTTCTTGTTTACATATGTCATTGACTCTTTCAACATATAGAAACAAAAATAAACTACCGCTGTCACTCATTTTGCTTATCTTAATTAGTTGACTAATGAGAGCCAAATTAAGGATGGACTGAGTTTGAAGTCAATTTGTTTCAGAATGAATCATATTCGGACAAATTTAAATTAGAAAAAATCGATCAGGGACCGGTTTGGGGATCATCACAGATGAGAATGAAGAGAAGACTAACAGCAATACTAACATTCATGCTCATCGTTTCTGTTTCCAGATAATTTGAATATAAGATAACCATAATGCAAAATTCGAATGGATTTTTTTCTTGTTCATTTATATTTAGTTTGATAGGGTTTGACGAACTATATAAAACTCGAATGATTGAATACGTAGCATTGATTACTATTATTGACTCGCTTGTTTTTACAGACATTGTCAAATTTCGATTATGTTACTTCTTCAAACTTTATAGAAATAGTTTATTCTTATTCAGCACCCAAAACTGCATTGAATCATATATATTTTAGGAATCTGTTTTTTTTCTGTGAAAACGAATCCCTGAGAGATTATGAGAAAAATTTTAGAAAAGTTGACGCTTATTCTGAATATCCAATCTATTTCGCTATTTATCCAGATCATGGTATTAAATGCAAATAACACTTTTATTCAGTTTTTGGCACTGTGTCAGAATCACATGTTTTCACAAAGTTTGAAACAGTGATCTCACCGAAATTTAACAATTTTTGTAAAAAAAAAAGGCCAATTCATAATTACCCATACTGTATTTTCAACTGAATAGTGGTCAAATCAAAATAACAACTGTATAGTTGTCATCAACTAGTTAAGCTCTATCAAACCGTATACAAATAAGCGAGAAAACAGTTCTCTCGAATTTCGCACTATTCGCACTTTACATGTCTTTTTTGTCTATTTCAGTTTTATTCTTGTACCAAACGTTTGGAATTTAGCAAAACTTGATCCATTATTAATTGAATGTTTTACAGAAAATGTTACAGATATTGTCTTAAGTGGTTATCCAACAGAAAGTGACTATCATGGAATGAAATTTATTTTAGATATTCTAACACGAGGTCATATTACAAATATAGTTTTAAAATTTCCATCCTATTGTCTAATAAATATTCTTTCACCATTATTAATCTATCCACGTTCATATTCTTTATCATATTTATCAACAATTAATGAAAATGACTTTAAACAATCGAATATATTCAGACCAAATTTTATTTTACCATATCGTCAAAAACAAATATGTTTACAAGTAGAAATACATTCACATGAAGAAAATAATAATCATAATAATCTTCATCGAATTTTGTCAAATAATGATCATGTAATCGAACAAGATGATAACGATTCAATAGATACAACACATGCTGTTATATCAGAATCTATCAATGGTTCACAGGATTCATTAGATCTTCTTTCAACATCGCCAAATACAACCATTCATATACATTCATCAACATTAAGAATAAGAAATGATTTTCCACGATCAGTTTTTCAGCCATATCAACCACCTGATAATCAAATTCAAACGGATTTACCAATTATTGAATCAAGTCACCTTACTTCATTATCGGATCATAACAGGTTGATTGTTTAAACATAACATCGCTTCTCTTTTTTTGACAGTTTCTGATTCTCCAAGAGGATAGAAACGATCAGATCGAAATTTTTACCACAGATGGAGCGCATGAAATAATGAGACACATATTCGAGAAAAAAAATTTCAAATGAGTTTTCACGATTTTTTCGGAAAAATTCTGATTTTTCCATAGGACCGTATCCTGGTACATTATGCTTCCTATCAAACTTTATATGTTCTGACTGAAAATTTTGTCGGAGATACCTCACATTGTATTGCGGAGCTATTTTAAAGGGTTTTCGAAAACTTTTTTTTATGA